AGGGTTTAGGGCCTAGGGTTTACGGAGATCTTGTAGTGCCTGAAAAGCCCTAAATCATAATTCACAGATTCACAGGTCCCGAAATTCGTAGCAGGCTTTTAGAGGAAACCGGGCAACGTGTCTTCATTGTTAAGACGGGTTTGGGAATAATCTCTTCTCCTAGTCCCTATATAGTTATCCTATAGTATACCCCGAACCCAATTATAACTCATACTTCCGCAATGGGCCACGGAAATAAAAGGTTAGACTTTCATGCTACTAATAAAAACCCAAAAAATTTAAAGGTTGTGTATTGGAGAACTAAGAATCTTACATCTTTACAGTACGGACCTGCCAGCGCCACAGGATCTCACATATAGGAGATAGGATTAAAGGGGCCCTTCGGGATATATCGACCCTCTCAATAAGGTCCCTTGTAAAGGAACCCTTAAAGAACCCTAAACCCTTTCAAAGTGGCCTATATAGGACTAATTACCGGGCTTTTTGGGCCAAAAGAATGACGCGCAAAGCCTAAGCCCCAAGAGAGCCTTAGCTCCAGCAGCATCCTTTTGGGGGATCTTTTAGGGGCTACGGTTTAGGGTTTAAGGTTTCGGGTTTCGGGTTAGGGTTTAAGGTTTAGGGTTTAGGGCTTAAGCCCTAAACCCTAAACCCTAAACCCAAAACCCTAAAACCCTAACGGGTTTAGGGTTTAGGGTTTAAGGTTGATCCTCTAAGAGTTCGTTTAAGGGATCCTCAAAGGGTTCCTTCAAGGGCTCCTTTAAGGGATCCTCTAAGGGTACCCTTAACGGTTCCTCCGTGTAACCTAATAGTTAGTGGGGTTTAGGGTTCAGGGGTTTGGTGATTTGGGGGTTGAGGGGTTTTCGGGGGTTTTGGGGGGTTTTCGGGGTTTCGGGGTTTGGAGTACAGAAGGGTGTCTAAGGTTTAGGTTTAGGTGCATCGGCTTTCAGCTTTAGGGGTTTAGGGGTGCAGGGGCTGAGGGTTTAGGGTCTAAGGTTGCGAGATCCACCTTGAAATGTCCGAGCCCTTGTTCTGACACAGACTGCCCGGATGGAACATCAGGAATGTGAATCGAGGGCTACTGATCACTGTTCTGAGCAGTGTTGTCCCATGCCTGCCAAATTCAACCACCCTAAACCCTAAACCCCAGCAAGCCCTAAACAAGTCGTGGAAGTTTGAGCTTTGGGGCGGGTCTGGGCTCCAAATGAAATTTTACTTTAGGGTTTAGGGTTTAGGTTGGGCTGAGTGC